AACAATTAATTCACTTTAGTTAAGCGACACTTTTTTTTCAAGTTTCTCCATAACGATTTGTATGTATTTCATATAATTCAAATTTCCAGTAATATATGCAAATATTATTGAAATAAAAACTAAGCACTTCACTCTGTTAGGTTTCAAAATGGCCCGGCATGGCCAGGTGGTTAAGGCACTCGACTCGCAATCTAAGGGTCGCAGGTTCGAATCCCGCTCACACTAAACATGCTCGCCCTTTCAGCCGTGGGGGCGTTATAATGTGACGGTCAATCCCACTATTCGTTAGTAAAAGAGTAGCCCAAGAGTTGGCGGTGACTAGCTGCCCTCCCTCTAGTCTTACACTGCTAAATTAGAGACGGCTAGCGCAGATAGCCCTCGTGTAGCTTGACGCGAAATTCAAACAAACAGATTTCAAAATTATATCAGCGTCGACGAACCGATTCCTGTGCTCCACGAAGGAAATTTTAATGTACAATAATTTAATTTTCCTCTCCATAATCAAATACATTAAAAATTTAAATAGCGTAGGGCATTCAAACATACAGTTAACTTTCTTCTTATCTTTCGGGGGGCGGGACCCCTATACAACTTTTGACTTTGTCAATGTGCCTAAAAGTTACAACGTATAGGAAAACCAAATTAATTTATGTCGCGAGACAGTATCAATATCATTTATCAAAAATAGCGATCAACGTGATATTAGTTACAGAAGGTATTTGAAATGTTAACCCATCTACTAGGTTTCGTAACTTTTATTCGTTTATCAAGGGTAAAAAAAAAACTATTTGATATTCTTAAACTATGCAAAATAACAACATAAAAAGTTGTTAAAAAACACGAGTTATTTCCCGCCTCAGATTTAGTGAGTTATTAATAAACAGCAGTTATATTGTTTGTTTGTAATTAAGCCCGAAGCTACACAATGGGCTATCTGTGCTCCGCCCACCACGGGTATCGAAACCCGGATTCTAGCGTTGTAAGTCCGCAGACATACCGCCGTGCCACTGGGGGGCCAGCAGTTATACCACGAGTGATTGCAATCTCTCACAGCAACAAACCTGCGTTATAATTTATACTATGTTATTGAATATACAATACTAATACAGAAACTGGTTCATAATGTTAGAAAAAAAATTTGTTTTGACCTCAGATATTATTATAAGTTCTTGTACCTGTTTTTAGATACAACGATATGGCAAAATGATAAAACGTACCTCGAACAAAATTATAGAAGCGCTAAACACGTTCTCGCACTCTCGTTACCGCACGTCTTTTGACCCACAGACTCAATAGTTTTTTTAAATGAAAAAAATGTTAAGCTCTCTAGACGATCACTGATAAATTAGGGCCCAGACAGCCCTCGTGTAGCTTTGCGCGAAATTCAAACAAACAATCGCAAACGCTATTCTACTATCCGAAAACACTTCGGTATGGCAGGTGGTTAAGGCACTCGACACCCAATCTGAGGGTCGCGGGTTCGAATCCCTGTCACACCAAACATGCTCGCCCTTTCAGCCGTGGGGGCGTTATAATGTGACGGTCAATCCCACTATTCGTTGGTAAAAAAAGTAGCCCAAGAGTTGGCGGTGGGTGGTAATGACTAGCTGCCTTCCCTCTAGTCTTACACTGCTAACTTAGGGACGGCTAGCGCAGCTAGCCCTTGTATAGCTTTGCGCTAAATTCAGAAACAAATAAACAAACACTTCGGTATAGAAACTTTGCAAGTGTTCCCGATTCGAAAAAATTGACCCCAAAATACTTTTAAATTTCACTTCTTTCTTACTTTTATTATGAAGTCTGCCGAATAAATACAATAGAGTTAAACATTCATCTAGTTTTTATCATTATTAGCTCAAGTATAGCACCATCATATGACGTTACTGGTGCAGCTACAACATTGAATAGATCATAATAAAACATCTTCCTGTTTGGCTTTTCCTTAAAGATAAATCTAAAACACTCATCACAAAAATAGGACTTGCACTAATATAACAAGCCTTTCTAGAACTGCCTGTCTCTCGGATTATGGTAAGTACGAGTATAGCCAAAATATAAAGTACAAGGGCTTCGAAAAGGTGAAACAAAATCACTGTGTTAGCTTGAAAAAAAGTTTATATAACGAAAATCTGATATTACGTCTTCGAACAACGAACGGTTCTTATTTTACACCACAAACTTCAGCAGTACAACAAAGAACCCAGTCAACTAAGACTACTTTCTCTTCTAGTATCTAAAATATAGTTGATATTGTTCAGGTTTTATACTTAGAGGGAGACACTAAAAAAAAAGATAATCTGAATTAAATCAGTACTTTCTTTTAATGTTCCTATAAACCTAATTAAATATACGAATTACTCGCATATCTAAAATTACGTCATGAAGTAAGCACAATGATAAATAGAGATCTATACCACACTTCCAATATAAAACGATTACATGAAAAACCTAGCAATGAGTCAACATTTGCGTACCACACTTCCAATATAAAACGATTACATGAAAAACCTAGCAATGAGTCAACATTTGCGTTATATAAAAGGTATCAGTGTTTTGCTTGTTTTTGTTTTTAGAAGAAAACCCCACTAACTGAGAAAGACAAAATTAAATTTTTCAATGCAAAGTTCCAGTTGCAGTCGTGCTCTAAAAAAGTTTAGAGCACCATCTAGTGACAAAAAAAAAACTTACATTAATTGAGTGATTAATATATATTCGCAGAAGACGTCACAAAATATTGGTTAAACTTTAAAGACTCTACAAGTGGTTTCCAATCAGAGTAAAAAAAGGGGAATCTTTTTTTATGAGACATGAGTCGAGGTGCTGGGGTTCTGGGGCACCACGGTATTGTTATAAAGTAACAGAAGTTTTCGACACTCCTCTTCGTCTTCTTCGAGTGATCCCAACGTAAACTTGCTTCTTAATCGTTTTCTTTCCTGCAACAGAAACCAAGAAAACAGATTAGTTAATTCTGTTCATATGTAATTACTTGATTATTTGTATGTTAGATGGCATATTATGGTCACCTCTTTAACTATCATGGCCTAGTGGTCGGGGTACTCGACTCGCAATCTGCGGGTCGAGTCCCCGTTACACCGAACATGCTCGCCCTTTCACCCGTGAGGGCGTTATAATGTAACGATAAATCCCACTATTCGTTGGTAAAGGAGTAGCTCAAGAGTTTGCGGTAGGTGGTGTTGGTTAGCTGCCTTCCCTCTAATCTTTGTGGCCTATGCTGTAGCAGTGACAATATCAGGGGGAGGCGAGGAATGGTGGGTATCACTCTAAATACCCCCCCCCAAAAAAACAACTAAAACATCACCCAACGAAACACCATTCACTTTATAACTAGCTCTTTTACCTTTGCAGCTACTCAACGTAGGAAATGAGAACATTTGAAAGCTATTCATTATGAACCATTTTGGTAATTTTGAGTTTTCTAAAACAAATAAAAAAAAAATTAAACCATCCTGCAGTAAAAATAATCTTACTTTCCAGCTTCCCAACTTATATACCACGACTCTCCTCTTAATCCCCCCCAGTGGCAGAGCGGTATGTCTGCGGACTTACAACGCTAGAAACCGGGTTTCGATACCCGTAGTGGGTAGAGCACAGATAGCCCTTGTGTAGCTTTGTGCATAATTAAAAACAAACAAACAAACAAACTCCTCTTAATAAAACAATTAAAACGTTACCCCCAAACTCATCTTTCTACCATCCCATTCGCCCCAACCCCACTTTCATATAATTATAATTCACTGCGAACATTTAATCCTGACAATATAACGAATTATCAGAGACAGGTTTGTCACGGTAGCACGACATTCTAATAAACCATTTTGAAATGCATTTTTTTATTTTATTTAAACAGTTGTGATAAACGGTTTAAGACAGACAGATGGAACAGCGTTTTAGAAATCATGTAACAACTCTTAGTTTACCCGCTTCTCACAATAACCACAAAATGTGATCTTTTCATAAGCTCGTTCCAGATAATGTTCCTAACTCGTGCAAACAATGTCTTTCTTAATACCAGACACGGCTCGTCAAATAGATCCAAATTACTTAAGTACTGTTCAAATAATTCAGAACAACTTCTGAGCGCTTCACAACGTGCGGCTTTATTAAGATTACTAAACTATTATTCACGTTTTAAACTCCCTAGTCCCGGGGGACCTTTACTTTACACCATTCAAATAAGACAGTATTCTTACCCCGAGTCTTTGTGACACGTTTTAAAGACTCGCGTTTAACCAGTGACGTAGAGCTAAATTTTATAGCGCCAGAGCCCTGCCAAAATTTGTGTGACGTCAACATAAGGGTAAAGATCTCAAAGGCTAATTTAATTTTTTTTTAGATCAAGAAAACATGTTCATCACTAATTATCTGAGACTATTTACATCAGTACCAAACTGAATACGTATATAGTAACGAAAGAAAAACTCAAACTTTCTTTAAATAAAGAAACAAGGCAAAAACGACAACTTTAGGTACTATATATATGTATTAACATTAAAACAAGTTTTAAAATCCCATATCTTATTAATTTACTTTCTTTCTAAAATATACATAACTAGATGTATTTCCTCAGGGACCCCCCAGTGACAACGCTGGAATCCGGGTTTCGATACCCGTGGTGGGCAGAGCACAGATAGCCCATTGTGTAGCTTTGTGCTTAATTACAAATAAACAATTTCCTCAGGGTTCGCGAAAGTGTTATTTTTCAAGAGTAGATAAAACCAAAATTAAGAGTAACAAATATATTTATTTCTTGGTTTTCAAGTTCATATGTTATACTATGTTGTAGCCTACAGAGTGCACAATTTTTCTCGTGATTCATGGCGTACGCACGTTTTACTGACGTCACTCCTCTTAAACCAATGGATGCAAATGGCTTCTAAGTTATACTAAACGAATCGTCTCGACCCCGAGGTTTGGACAAAGGTAAAAGTTTTCACCAACCTCTTAGGGAACCCGGGTATTTCGCTAAAACACTTTTACGGGGATTCCCCGAAAGCGAACCCCAAATTTGGCGTTGATTGACATTAGAGCACGAGAATAACTAGGCCTACTAATTATCGTTCGTAACTTGGCTAAAAAAATTAAATTTGTATTATAGCGGCCCTGTAAATGTGGACCATGGGCCCACGAGTTCGCTAGTTGCATTATAATATTAACAACCTTGATTTTTATAATGCCTTGGTTACCTCCTATCCTACCAACACGAAAAAAAAAAACGATCTTTGGATACGAAAGACACTTAATTTTAGGTGTGAATTGAATTACATTCTTTTTTATTACATAAAATTTTTTGAAGTGTCTGGATGACGAGGAACCCACTTTTTAGTTTGT